AAAAAAAAAAAAAAAAAGAAAAACAATCATACGGGTGAAACAAAAAAAGAAGAAGAAGAAGAAGAAGAAACAAGTTCTACGTGTTTCATGAGTAACAAATGACGAATAAACTGTTTATAATCTACATTTTAGTTAAGTAACAACAGATTAGTGCCAAACATTTAAACATCGTTAAGATTTTCCTCCTTTAACAACTGGAAAAAGGTGAAATGTCAGGTTAATTCTTACTTAGTACATCAATGTGATATCATAACTGCATAAAGCTGTCCAGGGTAGAGGAAGGGGCTGGCAGAGGATTGAGGGGAGTGATGATGGTGAGTCCCTACCTGAGCCAATGGGAGAAGAGCCAACACTAAGACTCTGTAAACTTCCATTCCTGAGCAATGTGGGAGATTTCTGAAGACTAGAGCTTGCAACACTTCCTGCAGCCGATGCCACTGAGGATGTTGGTGAAGCAGAAGAAACTGAGAGGTGAGAAACATTCTCTTGACTTTTGTTTCCTTTGGGTCTGCCAGGACCATGCTTACTTTGTTTACTTCCTTTTCTTTTCTTCTCCTTTACAGTTTCTTCTTCTATGCCCGAAGTTTGAGCCCGCTTATATCCTGCTGTAGGAAGGCTGGAACTACTCAAATCTCCAGGTGAATTTTCAAAGCTTTTAGGCTGTGAAATAACAGCTGAGGTCGCAGGGTGACCAATTAAGGAACTGAAACTATTTGCCCCCCCTTCCTGGCTTCCAGATTCTCCTTTATGTACATCTTTGGTTGATGACGACTGCTGGGGGTGAGTGTAAGTGTCACTGCGCAGATCTGAGTCTGTAAAGCTCAAGAAATCCTGAGGTGACTGAACTGAACTTCCAGAAGAGGACTTCACACTGCCTGGAGTTCCTGTAAAATTGCCTGTAGTCCAAAAAAAAAAAAAAAAAAAAAACACAGTAAAAGAAAAAATTGGATGCAAAAGTTCCCACGAGCAGTGGACACATACAATCATCAAAAAGACAGTTTTTAAATTAACTGTAAAACTTAGTGTCACTATATAACAAAGCTACATTTGAAAAGGATGCCAATGAAATTAAAGTATCTCTAAAATTACCTCAAGTGTTTGTCCCTCAGTTCTAAAATCCCACTTTCCCCACCGCGTTCCTCAGCTCCCTCAGCCCACCAACACCGTGCGTGTTCTCCAGCAAGGACTTGCAAGGACTGACTGACTGACGGTCACAAGTCTCTTTCTGAAGGCTATACACGAAGACGTGACAAGAGTACAAGCTGACTCTCAAGGTCTGGGAACCTTCTTTATTAAATACCATAAATATGTCTCTATGCTCCCAATATGCAATAAAAACCAAGACACGCTTAAGTTGTTCTAAGTTCTAAATTTTACTTTTAAACCCAGATCAATGATTTCTGTGATGCAGCGGGATATAATAAAATGACTCATCTCCTGTTGCTTTCATGAAACAGGAACGGCCAAAGAGGCTGCTTTCAAGAACCTCTTTCAGAAACACTCATTTTCCCGTCACTCTAGCCAAACACCACCATCAGCCATGTCACTTTGCAGAAGAACCACCTCAAGGTTGCTACTTTGTGAAACTCTTTCCACGCTTGCTAAACAAAGTCAGGGGGTATACAGTCTTGATGACCACACATCTATTGTATTTTAATCAAAGTGTTTGGAAACAAAAGTTGAAAATAGAAGTATTTTATTGGAGTAGAAAGGGAATTAACTGTAAAACAACTGTTACATTTTACTATAGATTATATTCAAAAATATTATGTAAATCCATCAATATATTTACAACTATTTTCCCTAATACAGAAAAATTTTATTTGTAATTGGCTTCTCGAGGGTTTTTTTTTTCAAGTTTTAACATTATTTTTTTTTCTTTTTTTTTTCTGGTACCAGGATTAAACTCTGGACCTTGCACTTGCAAAGCAGTCTCAGTGCCACTGAGCTAAATCCCTGGTCCCTTAAATTTTAACCTCTTCAAAAACAGCTTATTTATAAGGAATAGTCCTAATTCTAAAATTTAAGTCTTTCAAGAGTACATCTGTTACATTAGTTTCCTAAATTATTTGTACTTAACTAGTCATTTTCAGGCATCTATCTAGAAAAACACATTAAGTAGACATTTATACTGAGCTGGGTGGGGTGGCACATGCCTGTAACCCCACCACTCAGGAAGCTGAGGCAAGAGGATCACCTCAAGTTTGAGGCTACCCTTAAGTACAAAGGGAGGCCCTGCCTTAAAAAAAAAAAAAAGAAGGCATTTACATTGCCATCAATCATTTGAGATAACTGCAATTTGCTATGTAAATACCAGCTATAAATAAATTCTTATTAGCCAGGAATGGTGGCTCACACCTCTAATCCCAGAACTAGGGAGGCTGAGGCAGAAGAATTGCCATGAGTTTGAGGCCAACCTGAGCTTCACAGCGAGTTCAAAGCCAGCCCAAACTACAGAGCGAGACCTTGTCTCAAAAACAACCCCCCCAAAATAAGTAAATAAATGAATTCTTATTGTCCGTTCTGATCAGTGAGCATCTCTCTTTATACTTTCTTGTTGTTTTACTTTGGGTGGTAGGGGATTGGAGACAAGTTCTCACTACATAGTCCAGGCTGACCTCAAACTCATAATGATCCTCCTGACTCAGCCTCCCATATGCTGGGACTATAGGTATGCACCACCTACATTTTTCTGTTTTTATAGTTAGTTTTAAAAGTTTACTATGGTACAGAAAATACTTTATTTAGTATATAAATAATTTAGTGATAATGAGTATGTATTTTCTAAGAATCATATATTACTAGCCATGGGAAAAACATAACCAATTCCCTTAAATACCTTATGTTTAAAGTTAAATGTTTAAAACTTTTACAGATTATCTCTGATATAAAAAATAGCACATTTTCTTTTTTTTCAAAGACAAGGTCTCACTATGTACTTTAGGCTGGTGTTGAACATACTATGTAGCCCAAGCCTGGCCTCAATGTCACAGAGATCCTCTTGTCTCAACCATTTGAGTGCTGGGATGACAGGCATGCTCCCCACACCCAGCACATAGCACATATTCTACCACATCTTAACAGAGGTAGTTCAAGTTGGCCTTGAGTTCACTATGTAGCCCATGCTGGCCTCAAACTCACAGCGATCCTCCTGCCTCAGCTTCCCAAGTGCTGGGATCACAGGCATGTGCCACCACACCTGACAAGATTCTTGAATGTTGTAAAGTTCCAAAACATGGGAGACTGCTTCCCCAAATGGATTAGTACTTCACAGTTTAAGAGTTCAAAATGTCACTTTAACAGTGAATAAGGCCTTAATTACCAAACTACTGACTGAATCTGTTAATACCACTGTTAAAATGTAAATTAATTTACATTTAATGTTAGTTTCACTGTATTAAAAAGTTGCATAAAAATAACAATATACATTTTAGTAAATCTGGCATTTTCTTTCACACATCTAATCTTCTGTTATATAAGGGTCAGACACACACACACACACACACACACACACACACACACACACACACCCACCCCTGGGAACTAAAAATCTTCAAGCCCAAAATTACTACAAGTATAAAATATATGGCTACATTTTAAATGAGAGGTCAGCAGACTAACCATTCTATTTATTCAAATGATGTGCTACTAGATTTTTTTTTTTTTTTTTTTTTTTTAACTTGGGTCCTTGCGCTTGCAAAGCAGGCCACCGAACCGCTGAGCTAAATCCCCGGCCTATAAATTTTTAAATAGTTTATTATAGTATTAGCTTCAACAGGGTAAAGAAAGAGAAACTTCTCTTTCCTCATTTACTCTTAGGGAAATAAAGACTATATATATAGACATTTATCATGTACTTTTACTACGATATATTTCTGAAAGTTTTAGCATTTCCATTCCTCAATATTTACTTAATATTACAATTCACACAAATCAACCACATAGCATTATGTAATACAAAATTTAGCTGAGGTATTTTATTCTCCACAAAACAAGGCTGCCTTATACGTATGGTTTACCCAATTAATTCTGCATTTCAGTTTAACAACAAACATATTTAGGACACACACTAAAACTATCTGAAATGCACATTTAACTGGGTATCCTATAAATACAGCAGACTGACCACATATAAAGGCCAGGTGAAATTCTACTTCAAACTTGAGGCTTTATAAATAAAAGCACTATTGATTAAACATCTTGGGGGTAGGGGTTGTACCGGAGATTGAACTTGAGTCCTTGCACTTGCGAGCCAAGTGGTGGAACTAGTGGAGTTAAATCCCCAGCCCAAACAGTATTATCTATTAAGACCCAGTTAAGAGTCCCTAAAAATTGCTAGGTACTTGGTTTGCCTATTAAAAATGGATGCCTTGGATTCCTGGTACCAAAAGAATAAATTAATGAATTAAATAAATAAATAAATATAAAAACTGTATACCTGGTAACTGGTTTCAATGTTTAATTAGGAAAGATAAATGAAAATAATACACAGAAAACAATATCCTATAAAGCAGAAAGAAAACCCCCACCTTGGTTTTTCTCTATAATCTTTTCCTTCTTCCTTTTATTTGTGGGGTGGGGATGGGGTGGGTATCACCGTGGGGTCCAGGCTGGCCTGAAACTCACTATGTAACCTGATTGGCCTTGAACTCCTCCTGCCTCAACCTTCCAAGTGCTGGGATTATAGGGGCATGCTGGACCATGCCCAGCTTCTTCCCAAACTTAACCTTTAACCCACAGCTGTTTAAAATTATAGCTTAACTTTGGAAGTACAGATCATTAAAAAAAAAGAGTAAAAGTTCTACAAATGATTCAACTGATAAAACTAGCCTTTGAAGTAATTCTACTATATCAGCTAATTATGTAATAATCTGGAATGATCCGTTAATTATAAATTTTAAAATTCTTTTACAAAATTAAGATTGACCATTATCAAAGCAAGTATTTTAACTGGAATCCCATAATTAATACCTTGCGGAAAGGGACTAGCTGCTGACACAGTCACTCCTTGATTTCTTCCACCACCAGGCTTCCTTCCCCTCTGACCTGAGCTGTGAGCTGAAGACTTCTTCCCTTTGCTTTCTGACCCTCTAGGTTCTGAAACATCTTTTCCACTGGATGTGTGTGCAGAGACTTCCTGGAAATTTGCATTTGTAAATCTTGCCGTAGTATCTTCCAAGCGCTTCAATGATCCAGATATAGAGCTGTTGCTAGTGCTTGTGTAAGTCTAGCATTTAGATTGCAACAAGGATTTAAAAGGGGGAAAAAAACTGATTATGTTTGGCCACAGAAAGTAGTAAATTGTACATTATTAATAATCACTGAACTTGTAAATGAAAACAAACTTTCACTTCTATAAGTCATTCAACTAAAGAAAATCATGTAAAAACGATTATTTTAAACTCTATTACAACTATTTTTTTCCTACTATTTTTTTTTTCTTTTTTGTAGTTCTGGAGTCCAGAGCTCACTGCGTGCTAAACATGTGTTATACCACTGAGCTACATCCTCAGCCTCACTACTGGTATCATAATTTACAGAATAGCTGGTTTGAGGATCAGACTGCAGCAATTAAAGTACCTGTTAGTCAAATACAGTAAGTGAAACACAGCAACTCTGAAGGTACTCATTTCTCAAGTAAAATCATTTCAACAAGAACATACTACTTTCTAGACACAAAATTATAATAAAAATTCAAAAAAGGAAGACAATAATTAGAGAAAACTAAAGTGCTACAAGTCTACTGAAGAACCACATGCATTAGGATTGTAAGGCTCTTGCATAGGATAGGCAAAGATTTTCTGAAGAATTCAGGTGAAAACTCCTTTTCACCTGAGTGATTAGGGCCAGGGATTTAGCTCAGTGGTTCTGCCGCCTGCCTCACAAGCACAAGGGCCAGTGTTCGAGCCCCCCAACCGTACCAAAAAAAAAAAAAATTGATTAAAGCCTTTGAAAGAAATAATTTCTTCCAAGATTCATTGGAAGAAAAATTACACACCACAGTCAAGATTTTTATTACTATCCCTAAAGGTGATTCTCAATCACTCCTGCTGATCTAGATATGATCAAGGCAAAAAGCAAGATAAAGACCTATTTAAATAACCAGCTTTCAGTAATCAGTTTAAATACAAGATCTACCCAAATAACAGCAAATTAAATGATTATGAAAGTGTCTCACAGCTGATACACGTTCATCAATGTGCTTGGAAATGAAAGATTCATAAGGTCCACAGGGCCGAGGATTCTTGGTATTACTGTTCAATTTACTCAAATATCTGGGATAACTAGTGCATTTAAGTTCAGTGAGTGCCTTGAAGGTAATTGACATTAAGTTTGTTAAATAAATATTCCTGTAATGCATCCATCAGTAATTTCAGGGGCAAAAATGAAAATAAACGAATATGAATTTCCCACATATAGCCTCCATTCAATATCAACAACCAAATAAATTTGAAAATTAAGTAACAATAAAATCAAGTTTCAAAAGCATTGGCAAATTTAGCAAAATTAAAGTTCAAAAGGAGAAATGAGAAAATATCTAATGTCTTGAAAACCAAATCTTTTTTTTCTTTTTTGGTGCCGGGATCGAACTCGGGACCTCCCACTTGTAAGGCAGGCAGCCGAACTACTGAGCTAAATCCCCAGCCCCTGAAAACCAAATCTATACTGGTACTTTTCTGTTCATTTGTCCATGTTGCTACCTCAACTGCTATCAGTTTTCTGCCAATAACAGATTTCCATCATTATATATAGAAGAAATATCTCACAGAAACAAAATAGTCACTATCCCAAACAAACTACAATACAGAAAAGCAAAGTTATCAGAGTCAGTTTAGCAGGAAAAGAAGTCCCAGGTAACAAGCCAATGACATTAAGCCGATGAAACTTCATGGCTTACTTTAGAAACATGAGCCTTTTCCATTCTTGACAGATCAATGTAGAAACTACCCCACCTCATTTTTCAAACATTTTTTTCCAATTACTTAAAATTGATACTGAGGTTCTCCATTCCTCTCACATCTGATCTTTAAATGACTTAGTGAAGTTTAAAAGTCATCTTAAAAAACAGTGATTTTCTTCACTAAGATACTTTGTCCAAGTATCAAGAATGAAAAAAGCACTATTGATGAAGTACAGGACACTGTTTGCTCCCACAAAACAATTTGTGGGTTGGTCAACTTTCCCATTTATTTAATAGAACGTTCTTACTTCCACCTTCAAGTATAAATATGTCCATAAAACCGACAAAAACAAGACCTTTTTTTTTTTTGGTACCAGGGATCGAACTTAGTACTTTGAACTTGCAAGGCAGCCAGTAGTACTACTAAGCTAAATCCCCAGCCCAAAAATAAGATATCTTGAAGAAAAGGTATTACAAAGAAAGCAATAAATGAAATGATCAAAATTGATGACATAGCTCATATTAACGCTGTAACTGAATATTTCTACTTTTTAAAACGTTATACACTTTTGAAGTTTCCAAAGATATCAAGGGCTCAATATGGTAAAATTTTAGTTTAACATGTTAACATTTGGGAAAAAAAAAAAAACCATAATAAATTGTCCTCCCAATGCTACACAGGTTTAGTTCAGAGACTCTGACCTTAAATAAGACCTGCCATGTCTGAAAGTTAGTTTTAAAATGGATGAGAAAAACAAATAAATAAATAAAATGGATGAGAGAGAGGGAGGGAGTTCAATAATAAGAATAATGTGCTGCTGCCACAATACAGTACTAAGGCATGTTGCAAAAATCAACCAAAATCCGGGAGGGAAAAGGTTACAAAGGGAAGTGGAGGGAGTGCTGTAAAGACACAGGTAAACTCAGGACTAAATGTACTAAGTTGCTATTTTCTCAGATTCTTACCCTACATGCCTCTCACAGCATGAGCACCTCACTCCTAAGTGATGACAATATATAAAAATATCTGTCTTTCATGCAATTTGAACCGTTAAAGGCAAACTCCTTCCATTAATGAGTGCATGCTGTACTCTGGATAGGCTCATGTGTTCAAGGTTTGCCAGTCTGTGCCACTACTGGGAAGCGGTGGAACTGTTAGGAGGTAGAGCCTAGTGGAAAGAAAGCATGTGGGGGGGGCACACCCTGACAGGGATACTATACTGGGACCCCACCCACCCCTTTTCCACTCTCTCTTTGCTTGCCAGACACTATGAAGTGAACAGACGTCCTCCAGCACTTGTGCCTGCTGTGCTGCAATATGCCACCATGGAGCCAAGAGTCTCTGGAATGAAAACTCTGAAACCACAAATCTAAATACATCTTTCTTCTGTATAGGTGGATGACCACAGGTATTTTGTCTCAATGATGGAAAGCTGATACCATAACATTCAACTCAAGAAAATATGGTCTAAAATTTATTTTTGACTACTAGAGACAAAAACTATAATTTGAACTCTAAATTCATGTGTAAATAAATACTCTAATCTATATTGTAATTTACAAGCAACTTAGTAGAGTATTATTTTTGTCCACAGCTAAATATAATTATTAATCCTATGATAAGTTGCAACACTACTGACCTCAATAACAGCAATGGCAAAAATATTTTTTTCCTAGTTAAAAAAAAAATTTTTAATTCCACTTAAAATTAGTGATTCTTTAATAGGTAACCAAAGAAACAGCAGTTACGTATTTTTTTGACAGTGTGATTGTCTCAAATTATTCTACAAGGCTGTCCTATGCATCAGTAAGTAGGAGGCAGTTTGAAGAACAAAGCCAAGGCTCTGTCCTCAGTCATGAGTAAACATAACACAATGGTTAAAACTTTAAAATTTAAAAAAAAAAAAAAACTTTAAAGTTACGGACTATAGTATATTCAAGTGTCTCATAAAAGCCACAAATGTCTCACTAAGTCAACCAGAAGAATATGGCACAGAAACTATCATGACTCACTACAAGAATAAAGATGCTTTAAACAAAATGAGAACAGTGAGCTGTACAGAAACAATAAGCATTGTAACTTTTGTGCTACTGGGATACCCAAAGGAAAATGAGGCGGGGGGAAACTGAAGAAATAATAGTAGAAAAATTACAAATGTGAGGAAAGCTGTAAGTCCATATACATTTCAACTAACTCCCATCACAAGAAACATGAAGAAATCTATCTCAATACAATGCATTATCAAACTGTTAATCATCAAAATTCAATGGTAAGGAGAAAATTTAAAAGAATTTGTAATAGGATTTTAAAAACAAAGAATGTCTTAAGTACTAAAACACAAGGACGAAATGTCTTCCCGAAACAATTCAATCTAAAAACAGAAGAGTACAAAAAGAAACTGTCAACCAATTGGAATTCTATAGCCAGCTAAAATATCTTCTACAAGGAAATGCAAAATAAAAGCTTCTTCAGAAATAAAAGGTGAAAGAACTAATCAACACAAGGCCAACAATATAGTCAATGCTAAATGGATGCCTTTTAGGCAGAAGAGAAATGACAAATGAAATGTGGGTCTATAAAAGGAACAAAGACCCCTAAAAATGTTAAGTACTAGTGGTTATATACACAGTAAACACTAATTATTGAAGAAATTTAATTATTTTAGCCTATTTTAAATCGACAATTTAGAGAAAAAATAACATGAATCATAGGCTCAAAACATATGTACAATTTTATTAAGTGAAAAAAATAGTACAAGTCAGAGGGCAAGAATGGAAGTACAGGGCCGGGGTTGTAGCTCAGTGGTCATTGCTGCCTGCCTTGCAAACGCAAGGTCTCGCATTCTATCCCTGGTACAAAAGAAAAAGAAAAAGAAAAAAAGGAAAAGGAAAAGGAAAAGGAAAAGGAAAAGGAAAAGGAAAAGGAAAAGGAAAAGGAAAAGAAAAAGAAAAAGAAAAAGAAAAAGAAAAAGAAAAAATGCAAGTCTATATCTGCAAGGTTCATATACTACATGTAAACTGGTATCACGTTGCTGTAAGGTAGACCCTGCTGAGTTAAAGATATTATACTGTAAAGTCTAAAGCAATCAAAGCACTAGTACAAGAAATTATTGTTCATCAAAGAAAATATTCAATTAAAAGCAAAAGCAAAGAGAGAAACACACAAGAGAAATGATGGACAAAAAAGAATTGGTAAATGTTACATTAAAATAAAACCATATGGGTAGGCATGGTGGTAAACACCTGTAATCCCAGCATGTTGTGAAGCAGGAAGACTACAAATATGAGCCCAACACAGCAATTTAAGATTCAGCAAGACCCTATCT